AGCTAAACCGGCAAAAAAAACTATACAGTACAGTGGTACAGACTATTTAGCCAAGCAAATTGATAACTCTCCTGTCTATAATGACAAATATAGACGTCCTTTAACTGAGCACTGCTCATATTTCGAAACAGTTGCTGCATGCCAGAATAGCATGGTCGGACGAGGTCCGATGCAACCTGGGCAAGGCTTTTTTATGCGAGTGGTGTGGCACGTTAATCACTGGACAAAGACTGTGAAAAGAGCAGCGCTTCGTCGGATGTTGTTAATAACATCATGGCTCCGATGGAGCAGAAAGTGGAGACATTGGACGACGCTGAGTGCGTAAATTTTTTATAGAGAGGCGACCGCGATACCATATGTTATCTGCAAGACGCGGAGCGTCGACCCTGACCCAGTGTGTCTCTGCCGTAGACGATAGCGCGCATCTATATACTTGTCAATGGTATAACAGGAGAGAAGACGGCGACGTCACCCTCGAGGCTATTCCCGCGGTGAGATTTTTTCTGGAGATGGGCGAGGTGTCCTACGAAGGGTTCGGTGGTATCTTGAAGACAGGAAATTTAGCCGAGGTGGTCATTATACCAACTCGTCGTCGCTTTTGGAAGATGCTGTCCTGGAGAACACTAAGAGGGTGCTAAACGCACGAAATGGATCATCGATCCTAAAGGATTCCTCAGATCCGTTCTATTCTTTGGTCAAGGATTTTCAAGACTTCGTTTTCGAAGACCCGACTTCAGTCCTACCTCCGGACCGAGGTGTGCGTCATGAGATTGACCTGGTTCCGGGAGCCAAATACTGCGTAACACGCCAATGCCCTGCCCAAAGAGCAGTGTGACGTCATTGACGCCTTTTTCGTGTGAAGCACGAGGCAGGGATAGTGCGTGAGAGCAAGTCTTCCCACGTTTTGTGTCCTGAAGCTGAACTGCAAGTGGCGTATCGTTTACGCTAACATTTAGCTAAATGCTACCACCATTCCAGCACAGACGCCGAATCCTAGGGAGGGTGTTATCCAGAACAATATGGTTGGCTGTACAATGTACAGCGCACTCGACTTGGTCGATGAATACTTCAATTGCTCAAGAAAGCGATAATTATTCCGGTTTACAGCGGGGATTATTCTAAGCAGGATGCTCTGGAAGTGGCTGGTGATGTACCAAGGGCTGTCAAATGCACCAGCAACATTAAATCGTCTTGTTACGCAACTGTAAGGCTCCATCGAGCGTCTGCACAGACATACTTCAACGAAATCTTCGTCCGAGGTCGTGCGGGACACAGGAGGACAGATGTGAAAGACCATCTCGTTCATTTGAGAGCGGTGCTCGACTGCATGCGCACGAATAAGCTTATGCTCATGCTGATTTGTGATTTTTTGGAGCGGAAGAAATTCCCTTTTTAATGTGCTATATTGGGAATCGTGGCTTTTAAGCGGATTACCGCCAAGGTCAAAGCCATTGTGAGCTGGTCGGTTTTAGAGAGCCAAAAAGGCTTGCGCAAGTGGCGGGGCCTCGCCAACTACTTGCACAAGTATAGCGCAAATTATGCGGAAATAGCACGGCCATTGTCGAATCTCCTTTTCAAGGACATAAAATGGTGTTGGGACACCAAACATCGGGAGGCTTTTGACAGGGTCGAAGACAGTCTTTTCATGCATCAATACTGGCGTTACCAGACTCCAATTGTCTATTTGTGCCGTCTGACACTTCGGACTTTGCCATCGGCTATGCACTGCTGCAAGTAGATGCCGAGGGGTGAGATCCAGTGATTGCATTTGGATCTCGCCAGCATAAGGCTGCGGAGAGGGGCTACCCAGTCCACGATAAGGAATTACCCGCGATGAAGTATGCACTTATCTAGTTCAGGGTGCACCTGCTCGGCTCAAAACAGCTCGTGATCTACACAGATCATGCATTATTACGCGCTGCGACTCAGATACCTCACCTTTCGCATAGGATGGCCCGATGTCTCTCATTCCTCACAGAATATAAATTCGAGGTGAAGTATAAGCTAGGAAAGCAGCATGCTTTGGCTAATGCGTTGTCACGCAGACCGGATTGTGAGCTTGCTCATGTCACGACGGTGACGTCGTCCTGATCCGCGCCGCATACGCGGGTGGTGAGATGTGTGTAGCGCTGCTACAGGCTCTCGGAAGCAAAGAGTTTCAAAACTTGAATAAGTAATTGTCGGCGCGACTGCCCGCACGGCAACACCAAATTCCTTGAATAGCGGGTTGCTGTATTATAGCACCGATTCGACGGATACGCCACGAGTTGTGGCTCCTCACGACGTGGATTTGAAGTTAAGTATCCTCTTTGAGGCCTACGGCATGGTCATCTCGGTCGTAAGAAGACGAACAGCTCTGTGAGTTGCCAGTACTGATGTCTCAAGCTGTACAAATGGACGAGCACATATGTGTGTACGTGTGGGACGTGTTAAAAAGTGATACCCTCTCCGAATGCGGCAGCGCCGCTGGTCAGTTTGCTAATACCCTCCTGGTGTTAGCAGTATATGAGTATGGACATTGTGTTTGGCCTGCCGAAGGACTCGGCGGGCAACACGGGCTTGATGGTCTTTGTGGACCGTTTGGTCAAGATGGCTCATGATGCGGCAGTGCCGGACACCATCGTCGGTGTGGGTACAGTGACGCTGTTTGTCGATTGTGTCTTTCAACAAAATGACTCCCAAGGTCAATTGTCTTTGGCAGAAAGACTCGCTTCGTTAGGAAGTTTGGTCGACAATATTCAGAGTGCTGGGCACCAATTTGACTATGTCAACAGCGGACCATCCACAGACCGATGGTCAAATTGAGCGCGTAAATCGCGTCGTTGAAGACGTTTTTTGCAGCGTCTGCGCTGAGCTGCCGAAGCGCTGGTGCGCCATGCTGTTACTTGTACAATATGCTCTGAATAATGCTGTGCATGCGTCTATTGTCCCGCTGACGCCGCCATCCCATGGCTCAGGGGGGAATAGCCGAGCGGCTAGCTGCTGTCAGCCTCCTTATTGTGCATAAGGAAATCGGTTACTTTGTGTCTACCAGACTGAGTGTCTTACGACACTTTCGCGATACGATACCTGAAAGCCGAGACATGCAGAAAGAATATGCAGACGGAAGACGCAGAGATAATGTTGAGAACGTTGAGGTCGGAGACCCATTATATAAAATGCTCAAAACCTTCCTACACACACAGTCTTTTCTGTCTTTAAGACAAGCTCCGTCCACGGTTCATTGGACCTTTTAGGGTCGTGGCCAGGCGAGGCCTTACGAGTACGCTTAACCTTCTGATAAGGATGCGCACCAACCCAATGTTTAATGTGGGCTTGATTAAGCCGTATTAGGATTTGTTGCAAGTGAACGCGGAAGTGTTGGCA